AAATTTGAGCATTTTGAAGCTTCTAAGTTATAGACTATGTACCGGCTATCTTAGACTCTATAATTACGAGACTCAATCAAACTAAAACAGAGTTATTACAATACGAAATCATCAATCTTCAATCTTCAATACTCTAAGTCTTTAAGCTCTTGGATCATCATCAAAATCAACATTCTTCATGATCATTATTTGCAACATCAAGTCCTTGAATGTTCAACATCTACTCCCATTCAAGCTTAGCCAAGTCAGAATTTTTTTTGAAAATGCACCGTTTTGAAAAATAAAACCGTAGAAATGTAGAGAAGATTGAGAGAAACAAACTTACCTCTTGGAGCTTCTCAAGAAAATCAATATTTCCCCCTCAAAATTAAGCTTTGAGGAGCGTTTGAGAGAAATAGAAAAACAAAACGAGAGAAAGAAGAACTTACAGGAAGACGAGAATTGTGCTTTTTAAAAGAAGTCAAAGTCTACACTTTTTTTTTTTTTTTTAGATATATTATTATTTTATTATTATTATTTTATTATATATTTTTTTTCCAGAAAATTTCTAAAAATCACAAATAATCTAACCAACATAAAACTCTATAGTCACTTTCCCCAATTCTTAATAATTTAATTAATAAAATTTTTGACAAAAGTTGTAAAGGTATCGAGAATTAGGATGTTACAAGTGGCGTGTCAACACTCCACCACCATCATACTTCTTTTCTCTTCATTTTTACTTCTTTATTTCTTCACTCCATTTATTTACCCTTCCAGCCCTTGTCTTTTATTCTTTTCTAGTTTCATTTCATCTACTCTTCCCTCCACAATCATTGAAAATGAACCTTCACATCTAGATAGACAATTATCTTAATGTCCAGTGAGAATTTTCCTTGCGTTTGCTTACTTTATTAGTTAAAATTTTGTATCTTATCTTCTTAAAAATTTTGCACCTTACTTTAATATACATTATTTTGGAAGGATATTCCGATGTAGATTTGGGAAGTTTTTTAGACACAAGGAAGAGTACTACAATATTTTTCTTCACATTAGGGAGCATAACAGTTAGTTGGATGTCTCAATTTCAAAAAAGTGTTGCACTCAATAGCAGAAGAAGAGTATATGACTATTTTGGAAGCTAGTAAGGAAATGGTTTGATTAAAGAATTTTCTTGAGGAGCTGGCATGAAGCAGTGTGACAATATTGTTTATAGCGATAGTTAGAGTGTCATTTATCTTGCAAAGAATCATGTTTTTCAAGCAAGAACAAAACACATCCAATTGAGGTATCACTTCATTAGAGAACTAATAAGTTGTTGTGCCCAAAGTGTGTGAGTATCTTCTAAAGTCCCACATCGGGTAGTTTGAACAAGGGGAGTGATAGACTACTACTATAAATAAAGGGTTATAGTTTGAGTCTACTCACCACAACAACACTAGTTTTTGGGTATATTGAGGACTTGAGTAGTTGTGTGTCAAGAGAGGGTTTGTAATTTTGTCGTGCAAAAATTGCATGAGAGGGTTTTCAATTTTTCCATGCAAAAATTGTATGAGAGGGTTTGCAATTTTGTCCATATAAAACTTGCAAGTTGAAAAATGAAGAGTTGTTGAGTGCGTTAGTGGATGTAGGCAAGAAGTGTTGAACCACGTTAATTTCTGAGTTTGTTTCTCTATCTTTGTTTCTCTTGTTAGTGGATGTAGGCAAGAAGTGTTGAACCACGTTAATTTCTGAGTTTGTTTCTCTATCTTTGTTTCTCTTGTGTGTGTGCTTCCGCAGGTGAATATTTCTTTTCCCCTCTGGTACCCAACAATGGTATCAGAGTTGTTGGTTGTGTGTGTGCTTCTGCATGTGAAGATTTCTTTTTCTCCTCTAATACCCAACAGTGGTATCAGAGTTGTTGGTGTGGTGGCTCTATGAGATTCTTAATTCTTAGTATGCTATGTGGTTGCAATATTATCTGATCTTCCACATCAAAAACGAATTGAGGTTTAGCATTATTTGATATTCTACATCAGAAAAGAATTGAAGTTTTTTGTCCAAGGGAAGAAGAGAAGTAGTGTGCTAGGGAGTAGGAGAAGCAGTACGTGGGCCACCAAGGGAAGAAAAGAAGTAGTGTGCTAGGGAGTAGGAGAAGCAGTACGTGGGCCAGAGCAGTGCGGTGCTGCTAGGGAGGAAGAGAAGCAGTACGTGGGCTAGAGCAGTGATCCTGCTAGGGAGGAAGAGAAGCAGTACGTGGACTAGAGTAGTGCGGTGCTGCTAGGGAGGAAGAGAAGTAGTACGTGGGCTAGAGTAGTAATAGGTTCTGTCCAAAGAGGAAGAGAAGCAGTGTGCCAAAGAGGAAAATAAGTAGTTTGTCTTAAAAGAAGAATACATTGCTACTAGTTGTCATGATGATGGTTTAATGTGAGACTTTGGATGAAGGGAGGATATGTTGTGCCCGAAGTGTGTGGGTATCCTCCAAAGTCTCACATTGGGTAGTTTGAAAAAGGGGAGTGGTAGACTACTACTATAAATAAGGAGTAAGGGGTGATAGTTTGGGTCTACTCACCACAACAATTGGGTATATTGGGGACTTGGGTAGTTGTGTGTCAAGAAAGAGTTTGCAATTTTTTCGTGCAAAAATTGTATGAGAGGGTTTACAATTTTTTCGTACAAAAATTAGATGAGAGGGTTTGCAATTTTGTCCTTGTAAAAATTGCAAGTTGAGAAATGAAGAGGTGTTGAGTGTGTTAGTGGATGAAGACAAGAAGTGTCTAACCACATTAATTTCCGAATTTGTCTCTCTATTTTTGTTTTTCTCGTATGTGTTTTCGTAGGTGAAAATTTCTTTTCTCCTCTAGTACCCAACATAATTGATGATACTTTGTTTTTGGAAAATATTATTAGATAAGAAAATCCTGCAAATATGACTAAGATAATTATTACTAAGAAGTTAAAATTTTGCATACCAGTATTGTGGATATAGATAATTTTGACTAAATCACGTAAAATACTTTATTCTTATTATTTATTTTCGTGTATTTGTGTTCTTCAATCAAAAAGTACTCAAAGATGTTGTTAAAGTTGTTATTTATCTGTTGTATATGGGATAATTTATAAATTACAGTCATGGCTATCGGAGTTCAATGTTGACTACTATATTTTATTTTACACTAGGAATTTGTTCCATTTGGCTAGTCTAGACCCAAATTTGTTTTTCCCTTCTCATGAGGGGTGAGAAATAGAGTTTTCTTTGTTCTTTCTTCCAAAAGCTATATACTAGCAAGTGAAGCCTTGGGGATTTTCTTTTACGATTTATTTTGGTAACTTTTTCCCACATAGGTAGGTTGTAAAACTTGAGAAGGACTGTATCTTTCAATGTTCTGTAAAGGCTTATAAACCACAGTTGTTCCCTGAGTTAAAATTCAATGCATTCTCCCAAAACTTTTGTATTTGGTGTTGTTATTAACAGTCAGTGATCGTAGCATATTCTTAAATATTTGACAACATTTAAACTACAAGATACTCATTGATTAGTTTTTTATGAGATACAGATGATTCAATTTTAAATTTGATAGAGTTAAGGATAAGGTCATAAGAGAAAAGGAATCGTTCATAATCTGTAGGTCGAAACTTAGGACTTATGTAGATGTTTCCTTTTATAAGAAATTAGCATTGATAATTTTTCGTAGGGCTATTGTAATTAACATATGTATTTCTTAACATTACATTTTTAATCAATTTCTCAATTTAACATTACATTGTACACACCCTATTAACTTTTGCAAATTTCTTAATTCTTACGCTGCAATTGCTTGGAACCTCAATACATTAATACTATTCCCGTTTCATAATTGCTGACTGTTTAATTTTTTTATAGATTAAATATAACAATAAATATATAACTTTTAAAATAGTTTTACTAAACTAATTTTATTCTCTCCATAAATTAGTTTAGGAACAAATTAGAAAAAAATTCCTATTAAAAATGATAAAACCAGTCAATTTGAAATAGATTAAAAAAAGAGTAATTAATTTAAGGAGAAATTAGAGAAAAAAATTTATCAAGAATGATAACTCCGATCAATTTGATGTAGATAACACAAAATTTAATCCAAAATGAGGGATAAAAAATATTTCATAAATTTTAGTTGGACTTTCTCAAGTTTAGTGACGGCTAGAAATAAGATTAGAGACGAGATTGTTAGTAAGAAGAAAGAATAAGCGGTGCTTATCCGTAACATAATTGATTCAACGAGAAAGCATCTTCCATGCAACCTACGTGTACAACAGATTCTACATTGGAGACCCGAACCCAAAGGCGTTAATAAATATAAAACAACAGGTTCCTACACACTCTCTCTCTCTCTCTTCCGAAAATCTTGAATGAGAGTTTACGGATTACTGTGCGCTAGGTACTCTGTCCCTTTAATCCATTTCTCTCTCTCTTGTTTTCCTTCTTTTTCTTCCCTTGTCGTCTTCTCATTGCCTCCTTCCGTTCTTTAATACTCATAATTTAATTAAAGAAAAAGATACACAGTAATTGAAACTGTTGAAGAATCATTATCATCGTCATCGTCATCCTCAATCAAACCCATCCATTTGAATCTAGAGATCTTCTTCTGGTAATAATTTCTCCATTTCCTAATTCTAATTTATTCTTCTATCTCAACCTTAGTTTCCTTCGTTAATGCTGTCTATGCTTCTAAAAATTCCTTTTTGTTTTATGTTGGGCTTTGTAAGTTATCTGTTTTCCGGGTTTTTTCGTTGGCAAGTTCTAACACCTCTTTTATCGGCTCTGGGGATAAGGGATTGTGTCAGATCATGGGTCTTTTTATCCTCAATCTTGCTTCTTCTTTTTTTCTCTTCTTTTTCTTTTTTAATTTTTAACCATACCCTTTTAAGATTTTGAATCAGTTCGAAGGCATGTCCTCTCTTTCTAGTAATTTCAATTCAAATTTCGTTTCTTTTTTAGTTTGGATTCTGCTTATTTTAATTCCTCAAATGGATTTTGCATCCTAGGAATGTAGCAATTTTGTATGGTGAAGTTTCACTCGTTTGATGATCTGGTTGGTTTTATCGTCGTTCAGTTTAACCTGGTTTATTTCAAGCTAAAGTAATGTCATAGCTTAGGATGCACATTGTGTTGCACTAACCCTCTTTGGTATTGGCGAGAAATGAGGGAAAATTAGAATTTTTGCACTGAGACAAGCAACTTTGTACATTTTAATACTGTCATGAGTTGTTGATAAAAACCATTCCATGGCCAACAACTTTAGTTTTTGCAATGGTTTGTTCTCGACATTTACAAGTTATGATGTTGGAGCAGTTGATTTTTTGACAAATAGTCCAATACATGATAACTTTCTGTTGTCAAAACTATGGAATTTTGTCACCGAACTTGTCGCCCAATGTGCCCAAGTCTTGAAGACTAGGGTGATGGTGATCGCAGATCATTAATTTATTAGGCCACCTTTCTCCTTCTCCTTCCCATGGTCTTGCATCTTCTATATAACACCAAAAGAAAATTTACATTTTTCTTCTGCCTCTACCTTAAATTTCGTTACACTGGCTACTGGTATCACATCTTCTTTAACATAGTGTATTAAGAATCCAATAGATGTCAAAGTATTAAATTTGGAAATTTCTTCCTTATTTTCCTCCTATCTTATGGTGAAAACTAGGCGTGTATCGGTGAGGAACGAGCCAATTTATTACAATTGTCATGCTTGGAATGAGGGGTGCAAAATTTTCATGGACATTGACAGAAAACTGGTATCTTATTAGAAAAAATACATTATTTCTCCCTTGAATACAGTGCCTCACTTGCAAAATTTTGAGGGTCTGCATCTTCCAATCGTCAAGAGCCTTGATTCTTTCACAAATGATCAAATATCTCCCCCTCGACCCTTTTTCTAATTTATAGGCAATAGACCTTAATTCTTCCAAACATCTTCGCATAGCCTTTCCAATCTATAGTATCTTTTCTTCCTTAACTATTCTTGTAGCCTCTAAATGTCGCTCCAGATTAATCAGCCTCCTATAGACTCCTTTTCCTCCATGTTCTGGAATCAGCTTTAAGAGTTAATACCCACAGCTCCAAGATTGGAGCTCTATTACAACTTCAGAGTAACTGAATATCTTCCATGCAGATTTCAATGCCCAAAGGGCCCGATTCTTTAACAAATGCTAAATATTTCTCCCTCTTATTCATAACTGTCAAAGTCCGAAAAATGTAGGCAAAACATCTGTGTAATATGAATAGTATTTAATTACAAGTTGACATGCTTATTCTTGGCTCAAATATTAGCTATGAAGACGATTATGGGATCAACAAAATCAATGATCCATGCCATGACTTTTGAGCATCTTTTACTCCCATTTAGCTTGTTCTTGCTTATGTTTGTCTTTATCAGGAGAAGCATTACCACAGATATTTTCCTTTGACAAATATCTAGAAATGGAATGCCCAAGCAATAATTCTTGCCATTATGGTGAACCATTAAAACATCATTTATTTTTCAAAAGATATGACAAAGAACCAAAACTGGACTAGGAAAAAATGTTGAAACGAACCAAGACAATGGAAAGAATTCTAAAATTTGAAACAAGTTAGAAAAACAATAAGAAAAACTCTGATTGTGATAGGAATGTAAGTCAGACTGATACCATGTCAAACTCATAAAACTGTGTTATCTTGCTGCTGGACTCTCACATAAATCATATTCAATTACAAGCTGACAAGCCGATTCTCAACTCAAAATATTGGGTAACTCGCATACATACATTTATCCTAATTAAGAGAATAAAAACTACAAAATGAACAACGACACAGTTAATTCAAAGTCCATATATTTTCTATTAATTTTATTGACAAGAACACAACTTAATTCTTCTATTCATCTTTACCCATTTAATTAGCTCATGGGTATCTAACAAAAATATTCAGTAATCTGCATAAGTTATTGGTTTTCTTAGTGACAATCTACCTGTAAAATGTTCATTTTTTATTTTTTTCTCATACAGTCTAATTCTCCTGTTAAGGATGTTCGTGCACCATCACATTTAACAACGATTTTTTGTCCTAGAAAAACGCATGTTTGAGATATCTGGGCTAGCTCTATCTGATTTATGTGTTACTTGAGTAGTTTTAGGCTTTTCAGCGAATTATTTTAGTATCTATTGTCTGTGTATCTTACGTCGTTTATTTTAATGCATCGATTAAATAGTTAAATTTCGACTATATATGTGACAAAGCATGCTATACCCTTTAATCCATGACAGAATTTGTCATCTGCAGGCTATACATATGTCTCTTGCACAACTTATAGCTTGAGATTTGAGAATCTAATGTTTTCTGTTGATTAATTTAGGTGGGATAACTTGATTCTGATGCAAGGTCAAAGGAGGACCGTTGGATCGTTCCCAACAATTATTAGTATGATGCAAGGGCCCAGCTCTAGTGGCACTGATACGAATCATCAATCTCCCTTGAATTATGTGCAAAATGAAGTAGATTTGCGATTTTCAGATTATAGGGGGTCTTTTGGTGAGGCTGCATGTTTACGTGGCACTGGTCATGATGTTCAAAGCTTCCGTGGTTGGAATTCTGGGGAATCTAGTTCTGGACTGAATCTGATCAACCAAGGCAATGGGGAAGATGTAAATTCAGAACATGGTTTGTCTTCTTCATATAATGCTACTACTGAAGATGGTCGCATGTATGAGGAAAGACAATTTGAACCAAATGGAGTAATTTTTCCTGTTAACTCAAATAATAATCTACATGGCAATCAATCTAGAGTTTACCCTTCCTTTTTGCAAGGTTCTAGTTCTAATCACATTACCCAAAATATTAGTCTAGATATGGGATGTGTTGCTAACGCTACTAATCATGGGAAGGGCAAAGAAGCTAGTAGTAGTGTTGATGACAACAATACTAGTGGAGTAGATAAAGAAAAGACATTGCTTGGTAGTGCTTCATGTCATGACACAGGAGCTTCATCTGAAACATCTGGATACATGGCTTGGGGTGATAGTGGTAGATCAAGCTCTTTTGTTAATTGGGGTCCTTCCTGCAAGAGAAAGGCTCATGAAGGTAGTTCTGGAAAACTGTGCTCAGGAGGAAGCTCAAGCACTCTTGTACAATCCAAAAATGGTTATTGGTCTACTACTGATCCTATTGATCCTAATGCTTCAAGCAGCTTGAGTGATATTACACCTTTGGAGGATATTCCTGTTCCAAGTCCTTCATTATTGCAGAATGTAAGAAATGAAGTGACACAAAAAGCTTCCAATGCATTTCCTTTGATAAGTATTGCAGAAAATGTGCAAAGGCCTGTAAGAAACTTCCATAGAAGAATGAGCCAACTACAGGATCAGGAATCTGTACCTCTCAATTTACCATCTATAGGGAGTTTTAGGCATCATAGTCGTTCTTCTCTGAATGAAATACCTGGCTCTCACTCACTTAATGATTCATTGGAATTGAGGTTAACAGCTGGAGTAACAAGTCCTAATTCTGGTACTTCTTTAAACCAATCACCAGCCCAGCGTATCCTTTCTTTTCCTTGGACCACAACTGCCAATCCTAGAGGGGCCAGATCTTCTTCTTCTTATATCTCTGGAGAAAGAGTTCTTCGAGAAGATGTTAATTTGAGAATGTTTCCCAGCGGTAGTACTGAGCACCCCATGAATGTTCCTGCATCTTCAGAATATGAACCTACAGGTCGCCATACACCATCTGCTAATGTTAACTATTCTGGAGGTGTACCTCCTCCATCCTGGATTGGATCTAGTTCAAATGTTCACTCTTCACCTAACTCTGGCTTGAATTTTAATCGTGAAGTCCCAGCTGAAATGATGCAGAGTGTGTCAGATTTCAATCCTTGGTCCTTTTTTGCATCAATTAGCTCTGCATCTAGTGTTCCTAATGGCCATTCTATCCCATCTTCTTCTGGTCCTCCCTCATATACCCAGGGTTCTAGCAACAACCAATCCTATCTAAGAACAACATTGTTAATGGAAAGGGCTGGTGATGTTCCCTTAAGACCCCTTTCACTGCAAGCATTAACCTTTGACAATGAGGGGAGACGACGACTACTATCGGAGGTAAAATTTTTGTTTCTTTTCCTTCTTACAAATCATTTTGTGCTGTTATTTGAAGGCTACAGCATGCATTTATGAGGATTTGCCTATAAAAATAAGTTCATGTTGCCAAGGTTGTCAATTTAAACAAGAAGAAATATAAATGAGTGGTAAATAGTACAACAATATTATTCTTTTGATAATACTTAGGGTCTTGATGTTAGTCTAATTTATAGTGGTATCTCATTTTTTCATAACCATTTTCAGTTTACTTTTCAACAGAATAGCTTATTTGTAGCAGTCCATTAACAAGCATCCTTATGAAGTGAAATTTGATCAAGAAATTAGCTAAATTCGGTGCCATCATCCTTACTAACTATCTAATCGTTGTGTGCCAGATTCGCCAGGTCTTGATGGCAATTCGGAGGGGTGAGAACTTACGTCCCGAGGTTCGAATCTCAGTGTACAAATATATTTCGTGACAGTTTATGACATTTGTTCGTTTTTATTGTGTTATTAATATTGGGTATTTATGATAATTGGATGAATTTTCAGTGTGCCTATTTCTGTTTCATCTTAGGGAGAAACCCATCCAAGTATAAAATGTTGGCACTAGAATTGGGCTAATAATAGTATCTGAGCAATTATCACCACTAGACAGTTGACCCCACTTCTGCAATGTTTGTTACTGTGTTTACATGGTTTTTGATAGGAACCAGAATAATATAGAAGAAATGAAACTGAGCTTTGAATTTCAATAGCTCAATTACAGTCGCACTAACACAATGAGATCACCAGTGAAACAACAAAAATACTGCAAAATAACAAATGGCGCAGACAACTCCTTACAAGATGGATATAGGACCAAGAGAGAGAACCTTCCCTAATCAGCCCAAACCTCTCCAATATTCTCTTTCCCCCACCATTTGGTTACTCTTCCCTAAATACTCCTCATTCCCACACCTCAGTCCAATCTCTCCTTATTTAGGCCTCTCCTGAGTATACCCCATTCCCCCATTTGTCTCTTTACCTCTCCAAATAAACCTTTACTATGGGCCTATGGGTTTTTTAAGTTTTTTTTTTTTTTTCTTTTTTGCATGATTCCCTTCAAATTAGCACGTTTATTTATGCATATGGTTATGTTGCAAAAGAAATATTTACATTCGAAGTAAGCACAAACTGTTAGCTTGTGTAGGCCATGTTCTAGTCGACTTTGTTGCAATACTCTAAACTGTTGAAAAATACTAACTTAATTTCTGACACTTATGAAATGTCAGGACTATATGTTATTGGACCCTTTCCTATATCATGGCCTGGCTGAAATATATGACAGACATAGAGAAATGCGCCTTGATGTTGATAACATGTCTTATGAGGTAAAAAAAAAAAGGATATATCATATACTTTATCCTCATCCACCAGTTGCTTTGTGTTAATTTCTTCTAACTTCAGTTGGGGTTGTAGGAATTGTTGGCATTGGAGGAGCGTATAGGAGATGTTAGCACTGGATTGAGTGAGGATGTCATTGATAAGTTGATGAAACAACGACTTTGCATGGCAATCAAGACAGAGTCTTCTACCCTTTTGGAACCTTGTTGTATTTGTCAGGTTTGAGTGATGTTTGTCTCAGTATTAGAGGACATGAAAACTAATACAATGGTGTGTTTAACTTCTGAGTTAGATACTTACTGTATTTTTCTTATTCTGATGGCAGGAGGGATTTGGTTATGGAGAGATTGTTGGATCACTGGATTGTGGGCATGAGTTTCACAGTGCCTGCATCAGGCAATGGCTAATGCAGAAGAATATGTGCCCCATTTGCAAAACAACAGCCTTAGCTACATGATAGGGAGAACCTTTATCCTGTGTCAGTTTGATGTTTAGCTGCCTCTATTTATAACTTGTTATACTTTATGAAGTTCTTTCTTAAACAGGATCTGTTATCTTTCATGATTGAAGTGCATGTTTTGTTAATGCCACTTCGTATCTTTACTTAATTTCATTGGTGAACACTATTATATGTTTAACGTTTATCTATATTATCAAACAACTTCAAGCATGCTTCTAGCTTATTCATGTTTCATAAAAACCGCATGCTAGTACTTCTTTTTTTACTATTAAAAACACGCCTTCAAAATTAAGAAAAAAAATTTCAGTGTAAGGGCGTTTTAGATTTTCTATTTCTTTTTTAATTTGTTTTTCTTCCTAATACTGTTAAATTAATGAATTCAATTTTTCAATTTTTAAAAATATAATTTTAACATTTTTTATACTTTAATTTAATGTGATAATTGTTATTATCATCAAATTAAGAAAAGAATTGAATTTATACGGGATTTTAATAATTCATTATACATAAAATTAGTTATAGTAACGATGTGTTTATCATCATAAAATTGTAAGAGAATTGAATTTATATAGCTTTGTGAAATTTAAGAACTAATTAATAAATTTTTAAGCATAGAAATTAATGTTAAGTTTAACAAAAATTCGAAAGACAAAAAATATTTTAGTAAAACAAAAATTTGAGCGTTTAATATATAGTTATAATTTTACTACTAATAATTATAATAATAATAACAACAATAATGATAATAATAATAATAATAATAACAAGGAGTTTCTTCAAAAATGTGTTGAAAGACAAATATATTAGATTAAAAAAATTGTGGTTTAAATTAAATTAAAATTATTTTGATTTAATTTATTTTATAAAATAATTATTATTTTTTAAATAAAAATAAAAGTTAAATTATTCTATTAATATATATATATATAATATAAATTAATTTAGAAAAGGGTTCAATTATTTTTAAAATAAATATAAATTTTTTTAATATTTACTTATTTTAGATTTAATGGTTAAAATAAATTATTATTTTAGATTAATAAATTATTAAAAAAAATAACTATAATAATAAATTTTTACCTCTTTTAACTTTTATTGTATTATCAAATGAATATGTTTTCTTATAAATTATATATTAAATAATTATATTTAAAATACAAATTAATTTATTAATATAAAAAAATAAAAAGATATTTATTTTATTTTTATTTAAATATTTTTAATTAATTAATTTCTTTTTATGTTCAATAAAATCTTGACTGGTTATCTTAATATAAAACCAATAATATCTACTTATTTTAGATTTAATGGTTAAAATAAATTATTATTTTAGGTTAATAAATTATTAAAAATAAATAATGATAATAATAAATTTTTACCTTTTTTAAATTTTATTATCAAATGAATATGTTTTTTTTATAATTTATATATTAAATAATTATATTTAAAATAAAAATTAATTTATTAATATAAAACATTAAAAATATATTTATTTTATTTTTATATAAATATTTTTAATTAATTATTTTCTTTTTATGTTCAATAAAATCAAAATTGACCGGTTATCTTAATATAAAACTAAATTAAGTCAAAATTTATGTCCATGTAAAATTGGGTTATTAAACTTTTTTTATTTATCACTAAAACTATACCAGACTGAGTTGGATATCCATTTCCCTAATTTTCATAAAAGAAATAAGAAGATTAAATGATATATTTTTTATATGTTTCTTGTGTAAATATATAATTTCAAATTGAATTATCCACTAATCCCATTAATAAAAAATAGAAATAATATGTAATTTTTTATTAATATATCTTTTATTATTATTATTATTATATTATTATATTATTATTATTATAAACAGTTAATATATTAAACTTATAAATAAATTTATTATTAATAAAGAAAAATATTTTATTTTCTATTTCTTTTCTTTTTTTTCAATCTCATATTTTGTTTTCTTTTTTTCTTATTTTTCTTTTCACTTTTTAATTCAAATAGTAAAATATAATCCATTTTATTGACAAGATTTATCCATTTTTTAATTGCATTTAATAGAGTTATAAAAAACGAGTAGTTCTGTCCAATCTAACCTACTCCTACGAGTTAAATAAAAAAATTAATGGTTCAATTTGACCTATATATTAAAATATGATGTAATTTTTAGACTAACCTAACTCTATGTTAGTAGGATGACAAAATAGGTTAGGATCGATTGACTAACCCTCCAGTGTACCTTAAACATGATAGAATGAGTTTGTAGTTTTACCCTATCAACTCGTTTTGGTTCAGCTCTGTCTAATCAGTTATGCCAATCCGACAAGCCAAAGACAGGACGAGATTGATTAGCTTGGTCAACTTTAAAAAAATATTTATATTAAAATAAAAATAATTATAATTAAAAATATCATATTTATTAGATTATGTGATTTAAATATATAAATATATTATAATTTAAATTATAAAAATTAATCAATTAAATTTAGATTATTAATTATAATTAGTTATTTTAATACATAAATATATTAATTTTTTAATTTATCTCATAAATATATTAATTAATAAATAAATTAAAAATTATTTATATAATTAAAATTATATTTAAAAAAATACATATAAAAAATAAAATTTTTTGTGGGTTAAAATCTATAATCCATCTTAACACGGTGGATCAGTATGCTCTACCTCAATTTTTTTTAAGGACCAGAGGTGGCTGGATCTAAAATAGATTAACTCAAATATCCAAAATTTTCAATATAGTATATTTTTTTTGCAAGATATTTTACTTTTTTTATATTATTTTACCATGCGAAAATTATAATTATTTTATGTATATTTACTTTTATTTATGCGGATGAAAAAGGTATTCTATTATTCAACAACAGAGATTATTTTGTATGTTCGGGAAACAATATCTTTTTTTTTTTTATTAACACATTTTAAGATGAACTTATATATAAATACACATAAAAATATTGTTTACTATTTATCAAAACATTTCATAAAATATATTTTAAAATAGAAAGGAAAACCAAAGTATCTCAAGGTTGAAAGCAATGACGGGGAAATTGATGGAAATGTTCTTGCATTCCCAAGAGATGATTTTGATGATGATTCAAGTCAATTACATTCAAGTCAACACCATTCAAGATGAATTTAAGGACAAACTGAATTTATGACATAGGTGATAAAGATGATGATTCAAGAAAGCCCAAGATGATTGTTGAAGACTAGATAGAGTCTTAGAATACTGGATATGGAGGTACAAGTTGATTAAGTAATATTATGCAAAAGTCTCCAAAGCACAAGTGTGATAAAATTCATAACATAATATTTTTCACTGTCATAATTAAGTATGATGCACCAGAAATAGAAAAATGATTTTCTCTATCATAATTAATTATACTGGTAATATAATCAATTATGACAATTCAAATTTGAAAAATATATCCGTTTTAAAGAATAAATATTTTTTAATACATCCTGATTTTCTCTATGATATTATTAATGTCCAACGACCATTTTCTAATGCTATTTTTCTATTTAATTAAGTTTTGATGAAAAATCAAAAACACACAATTACAGAATTCGAAAATACAATTTACATTCAATCAATTTTGAGAAAAGAATTCTGAATAAGGCAACGAGAGATATTTTACACCTTTTGAGAAAACCCTCTTCTCTATTGCCTTTTGTGCTTTTATTGTTAATCACACTTGTTCTTGGAGATTGATATTCTACAGGCTTCTACAATTTGTTGTCTCCATTATCCAGGTGTGTCTGTTCTTATTTTTATTACCTTCATCCTTTTTGCATTGGTTGAAAAGGAGGTGTTTTTCATCCCTAGTGTGATTCTAGGGAGGTGTTCATCCTTAGTGAGATTCTAAGGAGGTGTTTTCATCCTTTGATTTGTTCAGAGGAGGTGTTCATCCCTAGTGGGATTCTAGGGAGGTGTTCATCCTTAGTGGATTTCTAAGGAGGTGATTTTCTTTTTAATTAGTTTACTTTTTACTGGTTCTTCTGCTAAGTTGATTGTAACTTGTAAACTGAATTTGAAAGATAGTGAATGGGGAGTCACTCTTGTGTTAAGAGTTGACTGGAAACTGGATGTAGGGTTGGCTATACCCGAACCAGTATAAATCTCTGTGTGCTCTTCTCTTTCCCTGATCTCTTTCTCCTTTCCTGATTATATTATTGCTTCCGCTTTAACAAATTATTGACTCACAAATAAATTTTTAATTTGACATCTATTTTAATTTGTGCATCTATTCACCCCCCCCCCCCCCTCTAGATGTCATTTGTCTAACAAGTGGTATCAGAGCTTGGTTAGATAAGATATTTCTAAACGATCTGTCAAGATGTCTATGCAGAATCAGGTTTTCAGGGAAGGAGCCTCAATAAACAGACCACCATTATTTGAAGGAGAAGACTATCAGTTTTGGAAGGTGAGAATGGAAATATTTTTACAAATACTAGATTACGGTGTTTGGGATGCTGTACTCAATGGTCCTTACATTCCGATGAGAACAACGGAGTCCGGAGCTGTTCCAAAGACTTTTGATCAATGGACGCCGGAGAAAAACAAGCGTGCCCAATATGATGTAAGAGCCCGAAATGCTATTGTTTCTGCCTTAACTCGTAATGAATTGTTCAGGGTCTCACAATGCAAGACGACAAAAGAAATATGGGACACTCTTGAAGTAACACATGAAGGAACAAATGAAGTAAAGAGAGCACGTAAAAACACACTCATCCAGGAGTATGAAGTATTTCAAATGCAGCAAAATGAAAGCATCACGAATTTCCAAACACACTTCATACATATAGTAAATCACTTGAAAGCATTAGGAAAAAGTTTTGATAATGAGGAGTTGAACACAAAGATCTTGAAATCCTTAGACATGAATTGACAACCAAAGGTCACTGCTATTACAGAATCAAAGGATCTCATAAAAATGAATATTGCTACTCTATTTGGAAAGCTGCAAGAGCA